AGTTCTTGGAAATTGTTAAAGGGAAATCGCTTGCTTTTGTTGGAGACTCGGTCGCTCGAAATCATATGCAGTCGCTGTTGTGTCTCCTCTCCAATGTAAGCTCATTCTCCAAACACTTCAAAACTTTCCCTTTTATTAATTGTCTGTTGCATATGCTGCAGGGATCTCATCCAGAAGATGTCTCTCTTAAATACAACCTAACATATGATTTCAAAAGGTGGTTCTTTGCTGATTACAATTTCACAGTGGCAAGATTCTGGTCACCATTTTTGGTTAAAAGCAAGGATGCAGACCAGAATGGTTTCTCCTCCAACAGCCTTATGAATCTATACTTGGACGAGGCAGATCAATCCTGGACTTCCGCCATTGAATCTTTCGACTACGTCGTCTTCTCAGCAGGACAGTGGTTCTTTCGCCCTCAAGTATACTACGAAAATGGTCGAATCATAGGATGTTTCAATTGCCAGAAAAGTAATGTCACACAGCTTATGAACTACTATGGCTATGGGAAAGTCTTCCAAACTGCCTTTAGGACGATTATGAGCCTCAAAGGCTACAAAGGGGTGACATTAATGAGGACGTTTTCTCCCTCACACTTCGAAAATGGCGAATGGAACAAAGGAGGGAACTGTGCAAGGACAAGGCCATTTACAAAGGAAGAGACGAAGCGGGAAAGTTATGTGTTTGAGTTGCATAAGGCTCAGGTGGAAGAATTTAAAGCAGCAGAAAAGGAGGGAATGAAGAGAGGCTTGCAATTCAGGCTGTTGGACACAACAGAAGCCATGCTGATGAGACCAGATGGGCATCCAAACCATTATTCTCCTCCTAGGAAAGAGAATGTAGCTGACTGTGTGCACTGGTGCTTGCCAGGCCCCATTGACACATGGAATGAGTTCTTATTCTCTATACTGAAAACAGTAAGGAAAGATACACACTGAGAACGTATTAGATGAGTTCTGTTAAAAATTACTGTTTTTTTTCATATGATCCATACTGTAATATCAATGCACATTTGTTTCTATGAATTACTCCAGATTCTTTGTTGGGTGGCCATTAAGAACTAGAAAGTTGGGATAGTTTGTGGTTCATTCTTTAATCAGTGGGATTAAGTCTAATCCAAATTAGGTCACTGGCAAGAACAAATTAAGAAAAAGAACCTTTTAACTAAACAGGTTTAAATAAATAAAAGCATCTTCTGTGTAGATTGTGTTGCAAAAAATAGGCTCATTTTGTTGTACACTCAACATGTTCATTCTCTTAGATTCAAGGAATCACATATGATCTCTTTTGTAGGTAAAGCAATGGAGGATCCCATGATCCCTTCCTTTTCTTGACAGGAAACACCTATGGGCTGTTCATAGCTTGCAATCATCGGATTCTTTCATGTTTGAAACTTTAAAAAGTGAGTGTATACCTTATGTATCTCAATCACAATCATACTAAAAGTCTCAATCTTTCTGCAGATTCCATGTTCAAGAAGATTGAAAGAGAACTCAGGCGGGCTATCAAAGGGAAATGCGGTTCACCTCCGCCACGCCTTCCACCACCACCACCACCACCAACTTCTCCTCCTTGTCCTCCTCCACCACCACCAGAGCCCCCACAGTCACCGCCGCCAGAGCTTTCTCAAAAACCATCAGAACCCACTCCCTTCCTATTTCCTTCAACTCACTCCACAGTCCTCCCTGACCCTTCACTTTTCTTTTCCCCTGACCTCCTCTCAGCTCCTCTCCCTACAAACAGTTTCTTCCAGAACTTTACACTCAATAATGGCGACCAACCTGAGTTCATCCATCCTTATTTGATCAAATCCTCTTTGTCCTCCATTTCTGTTTCCTACCCATCAATCTCCTCCAACTCTGCTTCAATATGCCAAGTTTTCACCCCTGATCTCACCATCTCTCCCTCTGATAAAATAGACCCACTTCCCCAGAAATCTCATGTAATCTCCTCATTCAATGATTTGAATGTCACTTTGGATATTCCTTCCTCCAACCTCCGTTTCTATCTCGTCCGAGGAAGCCCCTTTCTGACTTTCACAGTTTCCAAAGGGGTCGCCTTTTCAATCTCCACCATTCATGAAGTCATCTCCTTTTCCTTTAACAATGCACTCACCAAATACACAATAAAATTGAAAAACAATCAGACATGGATTATTTACTCCTCGCTTCCCATCAATTTGACGCATAGTCTTTATGTGATTACTTCTGGGGGATATGCAGGAATCATTAGAATTGCAGCATTGCCAAATTCTGACCCGGAATGTGAACTGATACTTGACCGACTTAGTTCGTGTTACCCCGTCTCAGGCGAGGTACGATTTACAAAGCCATTTTGTTTGGAATACAAATGGGAGACGAAAGGATGGGGGGATTTGCTCATGCTTGCACACCCTCTGCATCTTCGTCTCCTAGCAGGTACTGATAATGATATAGTCATTTTAGATAAGTTCAAGTATAGAAGTATAGATGGTGAGCTGGTTGGTGTGGTGGGAAGTTCATGGGCTTTGAAGCCAGAACCTATTTTAGTAAGCTGGCATTCAATGAAGGGTGTAGAGGAAGAATCCTTTACTGATATCATTTCTGCTCTTGATAAAGATATTGAGTCTCTAAATTCAACAACTATGACAACAAAATCTCCTTATGCATATGGGAAATTGATAGCAAGAGCAGCACGGTTGGCAGTGATTGCGGAAGAAGTGAGATATCTTCAAGTACTTCCAGACATAAGAAAGTTTCTAATGGGCGCAATTGAGCCTTGGTTAAATGGGACACTGGAGGGGAATGGCTTTGTATATGATGAAAAGTGGGGTGGAATTATCAGCAAAGAAGGGTCCTTTCATTCTGGTGCAGACTTCGGATTTGGAATATATAACAATCACCACCATACTCTGGGCTACTTTTTCTATGCCATTGCTGTGCTAGTGAAAATCGACCCGGCTTGGGGGAGAAAGTACAGCCCTCAAGTTTATGCTCTCATGGGAGACATCATGAACTTGAGCAAGCGATCCAATTCAAAGTTCCCAAGGCTGAGATGTTTTGATGGGTATAAATTGCACTCTTGGGGTACAGGATTGGCTGAGTTCACGGATGGCCGGAGTCAAGAAAGCATCAGTGAAGCAGTAAATGCTTACTATTCTGCAGCTTTGGTGGGGCTAGCCTATGGAGACGCCGACCTTGTATCCATTGGCGCTACGCTAGCAGCGCTGGAGATTAAAGCAGGCCAAATGTGGTGGCAAGTAAGGGAAGGACAAGCTTTGTACGAGGAAGAATTTGTTAAGGAAAACAGGTTGGTCGGAGTGTTGTGGTCTAACAAGAGAGACAGTGGCTTATGGTTTGGTCCTGGTGAATGGAAAGAGTGCAGGCTTGGAATTCAGGTACTGCCCATGTTGCCCATCACTGAGCTGCTGCTATCAGATGTTGGGTTTGTGAGAGAGGCTGTGAACTGGGCGTTGCCTTCTCTGGGAAGAGAAGGAGTTGGGGAAGGATGGAAAGGCTTTGTTTATGGCATGGAAAGCGTTTATGATAAAGCTGGTGCCTTGCAGAAGATTAGGAACTTGAAAGCTTTTGATGATGGAAACTCACTTACCAACCTGTTATGGTGGGTTCATAGTAGAGCCAAAGAAGGAGAAGCTAATATCAGCTGCACCAAAGTGCAGCTACTTTAGCACCAAATTTCTCCCATTCATATCAATGTCAAGTTGTATAAATAAAAAAATAAAAAAATAAAAAAATCAAGCTCCGAATGATTTGGCTTGTTACGTATCACCATGATTTTTAAAACGCGTTTAGTAAAAAGAGATTTCGAGGTTTCCACACCCTTATAAGGGATAAAGAGGAGCCTAGTATCCTCACTGACACACTGAACGCTAAGCACACCAACCAATGTGAGATCTCATAATCCACTCTCGTTGGTGGCCCAACATTCTCGCTGGCACACCAACCGATATGGGATCTCTCAATCCACTCTCCTTGGGGCTTAATGTTATTGCTGGCAAACGCTGTTAGCCCCATGGTTTTTAAAACGCTTCTATTAGGAAAATGTTTCTACACCCTTATAAAGAATACTTTGATCTTCTTCAATCGTTGTGGGATCTCACAATCCACCCTCCTTGGGGGCTTGTTGTTGATTTTTAAAATGCCCCAACAGAATGTCACCCCAATCATTATTGACATTTTATAGTTATTCCTCAGACTTCTTTCTTTCCGTTTTTTTCTTATACAAGAATATTTCTTTTTTTAATAATTTAAATAAAATCCAATAAATGAGTAGATAATAGAATAATATTTTTTCGAATCTAAAATTGTACTTTTAAGGGGGAAATGTCAAAATTGTAAAATTGGATCAAATAATTGATTCCAGTTCATTTCAATTCATCTTTTTTTTTCATTGAATATTGAAATAAAATAATTTTGGTCAACAGTAATTATTAATATTTAAATGAATTTTGGGCAGATTTAGTGCCCATATTTTATTCCTTTTGACTAATTCAAGTGAAACTGATTTTCTTTTTTAGAAATCATATTTATTTATTTTATTTTTTCATTAAACACTGTCTTTTTTATTTATTTATTTTTCATTTTACATTACAAATATTTATAAATTATTTGTCAAACTCTACCCAACTTTTTTTTTTTTTTGAAATAACCGCCAAACAAATATATTAGTCGAATAGTTTTATTTAAAATTCAAAAAAAGAAGTAATTCCAAAACAATCGTCATTACTTTATTTTATTTTCTCGAAATTTGTATCTAAAGAAATTGAAATTTACTTCACAATTAAGTTATTAATTATTTTAAAATTCTATATATGTATGACTGATGAACATAATTTATAAAAAAAAAAATAACTTTCAAAATTATTAAATTTAGTTTTTGTAATTTTATATTTAACAGAATAATTAATTTTAAAAAACTTATTAGATATAAAAAGACGTATAAACACTTCTAAAATTTGAGTTCGAAGAATTAAACGAGGAATTTAACTCAACTTTGGCTTAGAACATTTTCCAGAAGAACAGATAACAGAGATCAACAGCAATAATTGACGATTGCTTCATAGAAATAAAGCAAAATTTTTTTGAGAATAAAATATAATTTTATTTTTTTGTTGTTTTGTGATAAAGAAGGAAGAGGAAAAAGTTGAGTATAAGATGAAAAGTAGATGGAAATAAATGGTAAGTGATGATGCTACTGCAAACAGAGATTTTGATTTGGTTTGATAGCAACGCTTAACCCGTTCATTGGCCTCCCCCTCTGCATGTGCGAGCTGAAGATTGGCTCCAGCAAGTCGCCCCCGCGTTTTCCGAAACCGCCCGCTCTATGATCCACTGAAGAACCAAATATTTTTGCGGTTACTGAGTGGACTTTACAGATTCCATTTTCGAACTTCGAAAGTTGGTCGCCGGAGGGAGATTTCGTCGCTTCAGCGACAGGTACGAGCTCTGTTTTTTCAGTTTCTGACCATTTACTGATGTGTGGTTGCTGCATTTTGTCGAATTCGACATTGGTGTTCTTTTAGTTCGGATTTGAGGATTGTTGTTTTCATGGTTTTTTGTTGGAGTTTGTTTGAAGTTCTTCGTTTAGGGTATACTGATTCAGTGTTTTTGCTGTGGATTCTGTCAATTTGAAGCGATTTGGATGAGATTGGTGATATGGATTTGGATTACATTGCGAGGTTTATGTGTAAAATGATTTTCAAATCGGGAATGTGAGTGTAGTGTACTGGATTTTGTGCTTGTTTAAGGGTCTGTGAATTGGACTATGGCTTCACCTTCTCCTTCTCCGGCGGCGGAGTCTGCCACATCTTCCTCATCTCCTACATCTTCTGAGCCTAATCAGTCTGGCGAACCTCCTTCATCATCTTCTAGTTCTTCAGCTCCGCCTCCTCATTCACCACCACCAGCAGTTTCTGATGCTCCTCCTCCTTCTCCTCCATTGACAGCATCACCACCTGCACCACCAACATCCCCTCCTTCTCCCCTTGCTGGTTCACCGTCTTCGCCTCCGCAATCTTCGGCCTCACCGCCGCCACCTTCAACATCAACCTCTGCACCACCACCTTCAACATCAACCTCTGCACCACCACCTTCAACATCAACCTCTGCACCACCGCCTTCAACATCAACCTCTGCACCTCCGCCTTCAACGTCAACCTCTCCACCACCGCCTTCAAGATCAACCTCTCCACCACCACGTTCATCAACATCACCACCACCTTCCTCTGCATCACCTCCTCCCCCAAAACAATCCGTTTCCTATCCTCCTCCTCCCGAAGCTTCACCTCCCCCTTCTGATTTATCACCTCCGCCGCCGCCACCAGCAGCAGGTGGTTCTCCCCCTCCTCTATCCAATCCTAGACCTCCACCTTCTACTCCCCCTCCCCCTCCCCCTGATATTATTTCACCTTCTCCTCCTCCATCAGCTAATGTCCCAACACCACCTTCACCAACAGGAGAATCACCTAAAGTATCTCCTCCATCCCACAAGGCATCTCCTCCTCCTCCTGATCATAGCTCCCCTCCACCAAGATCTACAGTACCATCGCCCCCTCCTTCTTCAGTCCCTTCATCATCTGCTCCTCCTCCAGTTAGTGATCCTGGTTCTCCAACCATTTCATCAGGGGGAAGTCCTGTTACCCCTTCAACTTCAGTTACACCAGAACGGCCAATTCCAATAATCAATGGTACCAGTGTTGCAACAAATACCCCAACCACTGGTAAAAGGGGTTTCAGCACTGGAACATTTGTGGCAGTTGGCAGCGTGGTTGGTGTTCTAGTGCTGAGTCTTGTTATCATGGCAATTTGGTTTGTTCAGAAACGGAAGAGAAGAAAGAAGAATATCCCTTACACCGTGTCTTCTCCTTTTTCCTCCCAAAACTCAGGTACTGCATTTGAACTCTGAATCTTAATATTGTTCTGTTGTACTGGCCTGGGCTACATGGCACCACAGCATCAATTCTCTTGAAGAATTATTTGGAGAGTTTCCATAACATTATGAATACTGATGAATGTTCATATATCTCCAGATGCCTTTTTCCTGAGAGCCCAATCTTTAGCTAATGTGGTTGGAAGTCGAAACGATAGCGATTTCAAGTATGCGTCATCAGAAGGAGGTGGAGTAGGTAATTCAAGATCGTTTGCTTATGAAGAGCTACACCAGGCCACAAGTGGGTTTTCATTGAATAGTCTTTTGGGGGAAGGTGGATTTGGTTGTGTGTACAGAGGCACCCTTGCAGATGGAAGAGATGTAGCCGTTAAACAACTTAAAGTGGGTGGTGGACAGGGAGAACGAGAGTTCAGAGCTGAAGTTGAAATTATTAGCCGAGTACACCATCGACATTTGGTTTCCCTGGTTGGTTACTGTATCTCTGACCATCAAAGATTGCTTGTCTATGACTATGTTCCAAACAATACCCTTCATTATCATCTGCACGGTAAGACATACTTTATGAATGCTGTTGAAATGTCTTGAGAATTCTTACATCTTGCTTTTTTGTCTCTTAATGGCTAATGTCATGCCCACTGGTGCTTTCTCAATGTTTTTTTCTACATACTTTGCTGCATAATACACGTGTAAAGAAAAACAACAACAATACTTATGGAAAATTTTAATTTTAGGTGAAAACAGGACAGTTTTGGCTTGGGCTTCACGTGTTCGAATTGCTTCTGGTGCAGCCCGTGGAATTGCTTACCTACATGAAGATTGTAAGTTTCTACCTTTGGACATTGTCATTAGTAACAAGCCCAAGCCCACTGCTAGTAAATATTGTTCTCTTCGGCTTTCCCTTTTAGATTTCCCCTCAAGATTTTTAAAACGCATTTGCTAAGGAGAGGTTTCCACACCTTTTAAAGAATGCTTCGTTTCCCTCTCCAATCGATGTGGGAACTCACAATCCACTCCCCTTCAGGGCCCAACGTCCTCATTGTGGCACACCCCCAGTGTATGGCTTCGATACCATTTGTTACAGCCCAAGTCCACCACTAGCAAATATTGTCTTCTTGGGCTTTTCCTCTCGGACTTCCCCTCAAAGTTTTTAAAATGCATCTACTAGGGAGAGGTTTCCACACCTTTGTAAAGAATATTTCGTTCCCCTCTCCAATCGATGTGAATTAGTCCGGTAGTTGCAGATTCTTCATTCTCATCAACATATCTTGTTATGGTGCTTCCATTCGAAAGAAATCTAGCTAGATTTTAGTAACCGTAGGTCTTCTCTCCAAGCATTTGATTTCTTCTTTGACTTCTCTAAATATTTTTCAACTATTCCTCTCAGTATTATGGTGATTCTTACCAGGTCATCCACGCATTATTCACAGGGATATTAAATCGTCTAACATTCTGCTTGATATCAACTTCGAAGCTCAGGTAATTTGCTAGAATTCTTTTGAGATGCTGTGACAATTGTTGCCACCAAAACTATAGTTTGTGAATTATGCTTAGAAAAAACCAAAGCATTTTCCATTATAAACATAGAGATTACAATGAACAAGCAAAAAGACTGCCTGCCCCATCAATCACAGGCCTTCACAATTTTTTTTTCATATCCTCAGACATTCTGATGGAATGGCCATATCATTTTTCTCTTGGGCTGGAAAGGATTTTATTTAGTGATAGCTATCTGATTTGATTGAACTTCTTGAGGACTAACATAAGATCGTGATAGGTGTAGTCCGATGTTTCCCCAACTGTTTGCACTTTTAGTTCTTCGTCGTTTGCTTCTGATATCGTGTGCTCTACCGCTAACAGGTCGCAGATTTCGGGCTTGCTAAATTGGCATTGGATTCACTGACTCATGTAACGACTCGTGTTATGGGAACCTTTGGGTATGTCACTAAGAGTACTCATGTTTCATTTTCTTAGGAGCAAGTTGCTATACTTATGCACTCTCTTTTCCTGATAGCCGTGCTTTAAGTACTAAAGTGCTGGCTTACTCTTGCTTATTTTTTCTTTAAAACTTTCAAACAACAACGCTTAATCTGTTCAGATACATGGCGCCAGAGTATGCAACAAGTGGGAAATTGACTGATAAATCTGACGTTTTCTCTTTTGGGGTTGTACTTTTGGAGTTAATTACTGGTCGCAAGTCTGTAGATTCTTCTCAGCCCCTGGGAGATGAGAGCTTAGTTGAATGGGTAAGTCGTCTCTATCTTATCTTCTTTCTTGCTATATAAATAGGCAACTTGTAAAACTAAAGCTATCCGTCTTCACCGCTAGCAGATATTGTCTTTTTTAGGCTTTTTCTTCTGGGATTCCTTTCAAAGTTTTAATACACGTTAGTTAGGGAGAGGTTTCCACACCCTTATAAGAAATGTTTTGTTCTCCTCTCCAACCGATGTAGGATCTCACACTCAGTTTATTTGTTTCAATATTTGCTTCTTTTAAAGAATAAAAAGGAAACAAGGCAATAATGGAGAAAGCTGAAACGGGTATTCGATCTTCAGAGTGTTGAATTATCGAACTCTCTCAAGACCTTCCTTATAGAGGTGTGGAAATCTCTCCCTAGTAGATGCATTTTAAAACCGTGAGACTGACGGCGATACATAAAGGGGACCTGGGCTGTTACAATATATCTTTTTAACCTTTTCTTTTGGCTTGATAATGCATAATATGCCTCAATATACCATGAGAAAGGAATTAGTAACTTCGGTTGGGTAAGGTAACTCGTACTATTACGAGCTTTTGGAAGAATTAAACGAAACATATGGGTTGAAATTTACTTGTGCATTAACCTCTATGGAAACTGCAGGCTCGACCGCTGCTGGCACAAGCTATTGAGGATGAGAACTTTGAAGAATTGGTGGATCCAAGGCTAGACAACAATTATGTCGACAGAGAAATGTTTCGAATGATCGAAGCAGCCGCTGCCTGCGTTCGTCATTCAGCCGTAAAGAGGCCAAGAATGAGTCAGGTTAGTTTCATGTTCATACCATTCATAAAAGTCCCAACTTAGAGGGAAAAGAAAACTAAGATAAAGATGAACTGTTTTGGCATCAGGTGGTGAGAGCTCTAGACTCTTTAGATGAAATGTCAGATCTTTCAAATGGGGTGAAACCTGGACAGAGTGAAGTGTTTGATTCAGCTGAACATTCGGCTCAGATTAGAATGTTTCAGAGAATGGCTTTTGGCAGTCAAGATTACAGTTATGGTTACTCCGATCGAGATCGAGATCGAGATCAGAGTCGAAGTTATAGTCAAAGTCAGAGTAGCTGGAGTAGAGAATCGAGAGATCAAAGTCCATCGGTGCCAAATAATCGATCCCGGCACGTCTGATATGTGTGTATGAAGCTCATTTTACATGTGTTGCAGATTTTGGAGCTGGAATCAGGTCCTACCATTCAATTCTTTGTAAATCTCTGCTCATTTTTTCCCATCTCAGTTTTCTTTTGTTCTTGAAAGCTTGTTCTCCATTTCATTATATTTTCAATTTTGAGGAGTAACTACAGGTGGATGAAATATTCTTTGTACAATTATTACAGTTATTCTCAGTGGTAAGTATATGAATTTTGAAGAATGATTCTTTCTTGGCATCATGTCTGGTTTTTGGGATGAATTTACCTCCCCATATCTTGTTTTAGTTTCAAGGGCCGAGAGATTTGAGTTTAAGATTTCGTTTTGTTTTTTATCCGGGATGAGAAATAGAATATGAGGTTCCATGTTGGTTGGAGAGGAAAACGAAACATTATTTGTAAGGGTGTGAAAACTCTTCCAAACGCGTTTTAAAACCTTGAAGAGAAATCCAGAAAGGAAAGCAAAAAAAAAATACAATATCGGCTTGCACTGTGCCATTGTGCCATCGAGGAAGCTGGCCCCAGTGGACATGATGGTGAGATCTCACATCGGTTGAAGAGGGAATGAAGCCTTTCTTATAAGAAAAAATTGTGAAAATGAGAGTCAGGCACCGGGCGGTGTGCCAATGAAGGCGCTGGCCCCGAATCAGAGTGAATGGTGAGATCTCAAAGCTTTTTTTTATATGAAAAAATTGTGAAAACGAGAAAAAAAAATTAGTACACGATCATCAATGCCCATCATACTAATTTAGTCAAAATTTTGGAACTGAGTTGTTGGGTCAACCATGTTAAATAAAACTATAACTTTAAAATCTAAAAATATTGCAATTTTGTAAAAATAAAAATTGGATTTTTTTTTTTTTTTTTTTTTTTAAACTCAAATGCAACAAATATGAGAAAATGTGATTTTTTTTTTTAGTTTTATTTATTTATTTATATTTTTTTTGGTCAAGACAATGTTTTAACTAAATATAATTGACGACCAAAGAAAAAGGAAAATATTATGAAATATTTCAATTAATTTAAAACGACACCGTTTCTTCAGCAATGGAAAGAGAATCTATACTCCTAGTGGAAAGTAAATCGGCACCTAATTTCTCTCTACTTTCTCGCCGAGAGAAATCTTGTTTCCAGAAGCACAGAATCACCTGGTAGTGAAGGAGACAGCTTAGAACGAAGAACGAAGAATGGCAGAAGAACGAGAGGATCCACAGAGGCTGAAGAGGGCAGCGGCGGCAGCATACGATTACGAGAACGATCCCAAATGGGCTGATTACTGGTCCAACATTCTGATCCCTCCTCACATGGCTTCTCGCCCCGACGTTGTTGACCATTACAAGCGCAAGTTCTACCAGCGTTACATCGTGGGTTCTCTCCCTTTTGATTGTTTTCGAATTGGGTATCGTTGTGTTCTTCAATTTAGACTCCGTACTCGGTAATTGTTAAGCTATTTGGCGTTGAGTTCTGGATTTCGAGATGTGGCTTAAATTTTGTTGTTTCTCGCTAGTTTCTGCTTTGTGGAATGTTACTGTTAGTGCAATTTTTATTGGGAATTTTCTCTTTTAAAATTAGAGATTTCGTGTGGATTTATGGGTTCTTGGAATTGAGAGAGGATGTTCAAGTTCAATTACAAGTCAATTAGCTAAAAATTTAGACTGGTTTTGTATAAGCTGAGAAATGGGGTATTTTTTTAACTATCCGCTTTTATAGAATTTGTGCTGTTTGGTGGCTGCTGAGAATTCAAATGTCTTCTTGGATGTGTTTTAAATTCTTACCTTATGCTTCTTTTCCTTGCTTGTCGAAACAGGATCCCGATCTTGTGGTAGAGGCCATGTCTTCAAGTAGTTCAACTCAGTCATCCAGACCTTCAGCAACATCTTCAGCAGCACCCCCTCCTACTAATGACCGTAGTCGACCACGAAGTTCAGGTATAAGTTCTGTTTAGATCTAGATATATTTTAATGTTCGTTGTGAAGTTACCTGATTGCATTTCCATAATGCATTCCTCATAATGCAGGGTCAACGACTAGGACTTCAGGTACGTCTGCAAGTGCAGATGCTAATCCAAGTCCGTTGCGCTGGGATCGACAAACGATCCAGTTTTCTGTCAATGCATGGGTAGGTTTAGTTTAGGTCATGCTTACTTACATTACATGATCTTGCAATGTTTGGTACAACCTCAGAAAATTTGAGGGCTACACACACAAAGTTGCAAATTTCTTCATCACAATGTTATTTATGTATTTGGATTTTTTTTCTTAAATCTGAGTTGCTGGTTTTATGAAAGCTTGTATGAACTTTCAATCCATCATTTCCGAAAGATGAATGTAAATCTCATAAGTTTTGTTGGTACATACCGCCATATCCTATTTGTATCTGAAACACTTTTCCTTCTCTCTCTTTGTGGAGCTATCCCCATCATTACCAAAACTGTCCTCTGTTTGCGTCTCCCTGTGCACGCTTGCTATGCACTTGAATCCCTCTAGATAGGAAGGGTACGATGTGCATTATTTCTTCTACTTAGTGAGTTATTATTTGACAGTGTCCTGATCTTTCTCCAAGATTTACTTCCAGGTTTTCTTTATTAATTTAAGTTTTGATGTCTTTTTTTACCTCAATTGAGATTTTCAACTGTCCCGTTTTTGGGTAAACTGCAAACAAAAGACTTTCTGTTGGACTTTGTGATATCCTGGAGAATTCATTTACATATGAAAAGTTCATCCATAGCAGATTTCAGTTATCAAATTGTAGAGGTTATGTGTGACCATTGTCCATGAGCTGCTTTTCCTTTGGGGAAACTTTAAGCCTCCAATAAAAATCTTTATTGAAAAGTCATGAACATTATTTCAAATTCGAGCATGAAAGTCATATACGAAGGTATGTTCATAAAAATATATTGGTTTTCTTTAGTATTGGCTCGTGGTTATGGATCTTTCTGACCTGCTTCTATTTTTTTTTATATATTTTTCAATTTGGGCTCCATCCTTAAAGGTTGTTCTCTTTTCTTCTGCAGGTGCTTATTGTAGCTGTGCTTGCAATTTTCCCCCTAATACCCAAAAATCTTTCGCAGAGGGCATATAGGCTATCTTTTATGGGCATAACTTGTTCTTCTTTATATTCTTTGTACTCGTTATACGGAGTAAGTCCTCTGTACTAATTTAACAAGCCTCATTTCCATTCCATGAAAACGATTAAATTCTTCCTATCTAAAGAAAAGAAAATGCTCGGGTTATTGTCCTCGAGAATACGAAGAAATAAAAAACAGCTCCTTTATGTCCATCTAGGTTATCTGTTGTCTTTCTATCTTGAATTATTAATTTTTTAATGTCTGCAGAAGCCCAGGGCGTGGAATTTGCAAGCATTGCAAACCTATTTCCAGTCCATAATTGCAACAAAAGATTTCATTTACTTCATTTACTGTATCACCTTTTTGACTTCAAATATTTGTCTTAAATGTAAGCATAGCTTCGCTATTCAAGTTTTGTTTATTTATTGATCTTATCTTATGATATCACTGTATGACTGTGTTCATGTAATTATTTTCATCTTTCACACTTGTGCGGTAACATATTTTTTGGTTAATGCAGTTGCTTTAATTCCTATCCTGTGTCGGGCTCTTGAACATGTTGCAAAGTTTCTTAGGCGTAATTTTGCACGTTCGTCCTTATACAGGTAGCCTGTTCTCAAATTTTCAGTTCAGTTTATTTGTTCCACTTGGATTCTGGTTCACCCTGAAAAAAAAAAAAAAAAAGAACCTTGGTCTCTGCTCTTACAGTCAACCCCTAAGAAGCACAAATACGGATATGACACGTACACGACAAGGAAATGTTTATTAAATGTACATTTCTTAAAATATATATCATTTTTATACAAGAACTTCAAAGTCAATGAGTTTATGTATTTATGTGCTTAAAAATTAGTTTGATGAATTCCTGTCTAGTAAATGTTGAACGTATTTTGACTTTGTACAACATCTATTGCACTACCAAGTGTTTGATAGAGTGCCTAATTGGTCAACATGTGTCATGCACAAGCACGCTGGCCGAACGAAAGTGTCCATGCTTCTTAGATGAGGACTGGATTTGTTCTTCATTTTATATTTTCCATCTTTGCTTTTATGGAGGGGAAGGTGCCCACATTTTCTTCCTTATGCCTAGAGAAGGATATACTAAGAAATTAAGTGGCATAGTACAGAAAAGAGAGAATAGATCTGATTAAAGCACCGTTAATTACAAATTTGGAAGCTGAATAGTATTAATAGGAGACACATAATTCGTTCTCGAGGGAATTAATGAGTTGTTACAAGGATAAAGAAGAAACCAAGTGGTGGGCTCTCCTGTCCGCATGCCAGAAAAATAGATGAACGTGTATCGACTCTTACTTTTCTCGTGTGCTTAAAATCTTGTTGTCGACTACTTTAATCGCTCAAGTTCATAGCAATAACCTATCAGGTTCTCTCTGTGCAAGTATCTTATGCTCTTATGCCGTTTCTAATTTGATGCAGGAAATATTTGGAAGAGCCTTGCGTATGGGTGGAGTCAAATTCAACTACTCTCAGCATCCTATCTTCGCAGGCTGAGATTGGACTTGGCTTCCTCCTAATCATCTCCTTGCTTTCGTCAGTTTTTAGTTCCTTTTGGCTCTTCTCAATTTCTTCTAGATCCTTTTTAATGCTCATTTCCCTTCATTGATCTCTTCAAACTTATGTTTTGCAGGTGGCAACGCAACTTCTTACATGCATTCATGTACTGGCAGGTGTGTCTTTTGCTTTTGTAGTAATCATTAACATAATAATAGCATATTCTTTGTTCATTTGAGTATATGTGAGATCCCACATCAGTCGGAGAGGGGAACAAAATATTCTTTATAAGGGTGTTAGAAACCTCTCCCTTGCATATGCATTTTAAAACCTTGAGGGAAAACCCGAAAAGAAAAGTCTAAAGAGGACAATATTTGCTAGCGGTGGGCTTGCTATTATAGTATAATATGATAGGGAATTGAGGCACACAATGTCAGGACTAAAGAATTCAGTATTCAAACGTTTGAATTTCCATCGACAACCATAGTCTTTTGAATCATTAACTCAAAAACGATTCTCTTGAATCTGTAACCAACAATTTCGTATGTTGATGATCTCATTTGATGTTATAAACTCATGAATAGGCTGGTGACGATCTTTCCGGGTGTTTCTCTTAGAAACTTTTTATTTTGTGTTCATATTGAAAAATAGAGCTGGTGAATCACTTTTTTTGTTCTTGCAAACCAGCTGCTAAAGCTCATGTATCACGCTCCTGCCACTTCTGGGTATCATCGTAGCGCCTGGTCGAATATTGGGAGGTTTGTTTCTCCGTTGATCTACCGCTATGCCCCGTTCCTCAATACTCCTCTTTCAATGGCGCAGCGATGGTGGTTCAGGTAGAAAGCTAATAGAGGAAGAAGATGCAACTCTGATGTACCAAAATTTTTAGACTAATCATAGTAGTGACTCCATAAGTTGGATGAGATTCTCACTTACAAAAACTGTGGATCAAGTTTGGCGTCCAAATGCAACTTATATACTTATCATTGATATACATTATACACATCTTAGGAGATTACTATGTTTGAAATGTGGGTTAAATTTTGTCATACTGCCTAAAGGTTTCTCATGGTGGTGGCTATATGCCTTCTGTTCATGGCGGAGCCAAGGTTCATTATTTCTTTCATTTTGTCGACTTCATATCCGACATTTTAGTATCTAATGAGGTTCGGAAAATGGGTTACTTGACTCGACGATTGCTACACGGGCTTCGATACATGGGTTTAGGTGAGTTTTTGTTGAATATTTTGAGATATGCTAGACCTTTTAAACTCGTTACATAGGATTGGAGGAAGTATATTGATATCAATAGATATTATATTGCATAAATCGTGGAGGTACTCAAATTGGATTAATGATCGATTTTTAGGTTTTATCGTAAACGTAATTGGTCAAGGTGTCGAAAGTTTGAATCTTTCGGCTTCTAATTATTGTTTGATGTAAACAAAAATCGTCCACTTTTAACTTCAATTTTGTGTCCGATCAGTTTTAAATGACCATTGACTTTCAATATCAAGTCTTTAGGATTTTAAAAAAGATATAATAAAAAAAATTATGAAATTTAAAAATGGTGAAAGATGTGAATGACCAATTAATTTTTTATAATTTAAAAGTGAATGAGTTAAGGTTGTAATTAAAAAGAATATAAATAAATAAATAAATAAAAGGAAGAATCTGAATCGTACGGCAAGCACGCATCCATCTGCCGCGCTGCGCCGCCCGGAGCATTTGACCATCCCTCACTTGCTCGTCGTCTTTGGAGTGGCTGATATTTTCTCAATTCCGGCTCCGACAGATCTCTCTTGTAGTCGCTTCGCTTTCTTCGGCTTTTTTGTTTTTCCCATTTCTGTGTCCGAATTTTACTGACCTGCTCAGGTACCTTCTCCACGACCCTAAATTTCTCGTTTTCCCCTCATAGCATAAGCTTCTCATTCCTTATTTGATTCATTACAACGTATTCTGAACTAAACTAGAATGTGTTCGAATTAGCAAATTTTCAAGCATCCGTTTGCCGTTAAGTTTTCAGCTTCCATTTTCATCACTTGGATCCGACTGTAGATTAGCTCTTTGATGTTGTTGATATAATAATTTGAAGCTTGAGCAATAATTTGTGATATAGAAACTTGGGAAAAAGTGCTGACTGCAGGAAATTAAAGAAGAGGTTCAAATCCCCACCCCACATTTGTTGGACTGGAAAAGAACTAATTTCAACTTGATGATGCTGTTTCTAGTTTTAACACGACTTAGATATGTATTTTTCTACATAATCAGAATTTTGAGACGCCATTTTCTTGGACTACTTTCTAACCCTACACTGTTACGTAATGAAGACACCTGTAGATGGTCAATATTCTAAGCTGGGGATCTAGGGGAATTGAAACTGGATCTTTGATATGCTCCATGATTTTTATATTTAAGGCTTGAGGGTTTTCTGAAAGTCTTGGATTCTGAAAATATCATAAGTCAGATGGTTATATTATCAATTACTTTTTGGATTCTTTATAGTTTTATTTACTTATATAATTAATTTGTTTATAATTACTTAACTTCCCAGTCTACTTTTACCTGAAGTGTTCATAATGTTGTATGGATTAACATGTGTCATTGCCACTTTTTATTGATTGGTGATTCCTACCTGGTATGCTGTTTATTCTTGCAGATTAAATTTACAGCTACTGAGTGGACTTTTTGCTACCGAATTGTCCGTTATATTTCCATTTTATGGGAACCGAGGATTTCATTGCATTGCCAGCTTCTGGTGATTTTGGAAATGAAAATGAGAGTAATGAATCTCTTAGTTTTAATGAAACAAGAGAAGCTTCTTCTCAATCAAGTGTTTTGAACTGCAAGGACAATCCTGCAAGCATAGAGAAGGTTGAGCTTGCCGATGATGTACAGTTGGAAGATATGCGTTGCATACCCCAATCTGGCCTTAATGATGAAACACAATGTTCTGAATCAGATATGGAAATTGAGGATTTGAATAACCTCCCAGATTTTAGTAAGACTAGAAGTAGAAGTGAGAATTATAAAATACGGAGTGAAGCCGAATACCTGCCAGTCAACTCTGTAGATGGGAATATACTACCAAGCAGAGAGCCCTTGCAGCAGAATGAGCTTCATTTAAGATCCAAAGATGTTTCTCATGCCGAAAGTAAAAAAATTCAGAAGGATTTGGTTGACAATTCATCCTTCTCGAAAACTAGTGGTCTATTGACTCTAGCCACTGGAGTTTGCATTAAGAATGGCTCGGCCCCATCCCATGATCATGGAAGCCCCAGAAAGATTCACAAGAGTGATGGTAGTTGGATTTTTCTCCCCGAATCCATCTTCTTTTATGATTTACTTTCAAAAACTAATCTATCGGTTTTTTTACCATTTTTTAAAGGCGTATCCCCTTTTAATTGTGATAAGTTTAGTTATATATAATTTACAATGTTCTAATTGTGATACTAAAAAATATTTTTCTACTTATCCAGCAATATTAGGTGTAAAAAAACCAAGGATGGCCATGGATGAGCAACAACCTTCAGTGCACATCGTGTATACTTCTTTAACAAGGTTGGTTGTGTAACTGCTTCTGCAAAAATGAGCCTATTTGTTCAATTGAATAAAAATTATATTTTATTGTATTTGAGGAACAGGCATCATTGCCAAAAAGTGTAAAACATGGTGATATTGTTTGAATTACGGCTTTTAAGGGATTAGAGTGCTAACAGTGGTACTGGTTAGAGAACTAGCATCATTTGAATTTGATACAACCGAATGACTAATTATTGGTGAGATGAAGCAATTTTCTGAAATTGATTTGTCTTGAAGCCTATATAAATTTTAAAATTTCAATGAAAGTTGTTCTCTTATTTTGAAATTGTCATCCACTTAAAAATGTTTCTTCCTTTCCTTATAAAAGACCATTTTTTTAAACTATATTTGTATTTATCCTATTGGAAACTGATTCTCTTATTAGAAAAAATTAAAATTTAATGTTGGTCGAACAACTTATAGAGAACTATGTTCAACAACTGAATTTGTAAGTACCTAACTAGATTCATTTTCTTATTGTCAGAGATAGTAAACAAAAGCTGGATGAATTATTAAAGCAGTGGTCTGAGTGGAATGCTCAACGAGGTTCTCCATCACAAGTAAACCTCATTCATCAGTGCTGCTTGGTTTGCAGCTATCTTCTCTGGCTTATTGTTTAATTTGTTGGCTTACACAATCTTGTGGAATTTAGAATCAACTCTTTTTCATCTGATTTTGTCGAATAGTTAAACTGAGGTGTACTCATCTGTAGGCAAGTGTTTTTCTGTTAATGGTTTTTCTTCACAAATGATTTTTTCTAAATTTAAAGTTCACTATCTTGAGTGATTTTTTGGACAATGTTTGTTCTTGTCAAGTTTCTTGAAATGAGGTTATTTTATTATCTTTGATTTTGAATGAAGAAGCAAGCGAGCCACCAGTGATTGGCTAGTGTTCAAAAGGGTAAGTTATAGGTTAATGAGGTGGTTATCCTCTAATTGTTCCTAGAAAATAATGAAATCCCTGTGTAGTGTGTCCGAGGCTTGCCTTGAGGTAAGACTCTTGCTTTTAGCCTCGAGACTTACGCCTCCTTTGAACCACAAGAGACTTGCACCCTTGTAAAAGTGTAATGAGGCTTATAAGTCTCTATGCCTCAGGTTATGATTAGAAGAATAATATTAATTTATCTTGTTCTTCAAAAATATAAAAGTTTGAGTGACAATATGAACTATTACTACTTTTTTGGTATTGAGACTTTCAATGTATCGAAGTCAAAAATTTATATTATAAGCCAACCCTATAAATGATTATAGTAGTGAGGTTAAAGTATCCTTTTAAAATTTTGGTTTAAGTGGCAATTGACGGATTTGTTCATTGGATGAGTTTTTTGTCTGTGTTTCTGTGTGTTTGTTGTGGTGGAGGGGTGGAGGCTAATTGAACTTGTCTGTTTCTCTGTTCAGGGTGATAAAGAATCTGAAAACCTAGAATCTGGAGAAGAGACTTTCTTTCCTGCTCTACGTGTCGGCACAATGAAGACTTCAGCAGTGGTGACTTTCTATCTCTTTGTTCATAAACGTTTATATTTGAGCTTTTTGACCTATGTTTATCTCAATTTGAATGGCGTTTCTACTTTCGGGTTTAGTTAGCAGCAGTTTTCTACTTATATCTCTTATGCTAAATCTTAAGTTAAGAGGAAAGGTTTGAATTTGGACTTCCCTTTTTCATTCTTTTTCTCTATCCCGTGTGTGGGAACTAGAAGTTCTTCTAGGAGCTTAACTCTTGAAACTTTCTTGTTTAGTGTTAGCATGACCACAGACCATCATATTTGAAAATTTGAATTGCTGGTAGCAATTAAAGCAGGTGTATGGATAACTAGGCTACACATAAAGTTAATGCCAATAACAACATGGGGACGTTTTGACTCACAATATGAGAACATGTTGATAAACTTTCTTTTTGTTTACTCTATTATCCTTTATTCAGCTTGATGCTGGAGACAAACTAAACCTATTTTCCCTTTATGGTTCGTTCTACGTATGTTATTTTGTGGTAAAGAATTTGTGAATTATTTATTAGCTTTTCCTTCCTCTTTTGTTTTTTTAGCTACTTCCTGAATTTTTCTTCTTAATCATTGTTTTAACTGCAGACTTTCTGGATTGACAACCAAACAAGTGAACAGCAGCAAAATTTTGTTCCTATAGATGATAATTCGGTGCCACTATACGATCGGGGATTCACTTTGGGACTGACTTCAGCCAATGATTCGAGTAATGCGGAAGGGTAAATTCTCTTTATTCACCAGCTGTTGATGGATCAAGTTAACAGCAGGGGACAAGAAAATCTAAAGAATGAGGCAGCTTTATATTAAAATAAAATCTAGTCCTTGATTTCCTTGTTTTTCATGGCAAGGGAAATGAAAGGATTCTTCATAATAGTTTTATCTTTTTAGTTTTGCAGAGTACATGAATACTAATATGGGCTTATGCTTGGTTTTGTGTCTTTCAATTAGTGCTCTTTTAATCGTTACCCTTTTATACTACACTATGAACTTGTTTTTTTTTTTTTTTTGTTCTCTTTCTTTATTTTCTATGGAAAACTTTCTAGAGGCCAGAAGATAATTGATGATGCTAGCCGTTGTTTCAATTGTGGTTCTTACAACCATTCCTTAAAGGATTGTCGAAAGCCTCGAGATAATGCTGCTGTTAATAATGCTCGCAATATGTATAAAAAACATAATAGCTCTGGCTCCCGGAATTCAACTCGATATTATCAGAGTTCACGTGGTGGGAAGTATGATGATTTGAGGCCAGGATCTCTTGATGCTGAAACACGGCAACTGTTGGGTCTCAAGGTATTATAACTATCTTGTTTTTAAGAATTATTTCCTTCGTGGCTTAAACAGTCATTTTAGATCAAATAAAACCAAAATTTAGAAATCGACGAAGATTGGCCTATGGTTTGAAAAACGTATGCATAATTCAGTAGTAATATTACTAATAGGAAATTTTGATTTACTGACGTGTGAACTTTATGAGTTGGAATCAATATGTGGCTAGTTTTTTTATATTCCTTTCACTATTCAGGAGCTTGATCCACCCCCTTGGCTTAACAGAATGCGAGAGCTGGGCTACCCACCTGGATATCTAGGTAAATTACGTTATCTGTGCTGCTTTCTCTTCAATCTAGTCATTCATTGTTCTTTTATTTTTATCAATGAGAGGTAGTTCTTCCGTTGACAAAAAGAACATGTTTCAAAATCACTCTCATGCAGTAAAAACTTGTTTGTGTTTTAAGCTAAATATAATTTCCCACTAGAATTATTACTACGATAAAAAAAAAAAAAGTTTAACCATTATAAAATAACAAACAAGAAATAAATATATCTATTATGATCTGCAATGTTCTGTTCACTATTTAATGGCAGTAAAAACTTGTGATCTTTCAGATCCGGAAGATGAGGATCAGCCATCAGGGATTACAATATATGCTGATGAGAAAGGTGACGAACAGGAAGATGGGGAAATTACTGAGCCAGAGTACCGTAAACCAGGAAAGAAAATGAGCGTTGAATTTCCTGGAATCAATGCTCCAATCCCAGAAAGTGCAGATGAAAGACTTTGGTCTGCTGAACCTTTGAGTTCGGATCTCCCTAGAAAGCGGTCAAGCCAGCGCTTGAACCATCACATAGAACATGATGGGAGGGGAAATGACCACTATCAACCACGTTGGTCCCGGGACTACAGAGATTACAGGCCTCCCGGTGTTGACTCGGTAAAAAGTCCTACCATCTTCACTCCGAGGTATGGCGGTCACGAATCTAGTTATGGCTCCCGTAGTCCAAGAGATAATTTTTCAACATCAAGGAGCCAAAATTTGGGGAGGCTCCACTCGGATAGAGGTAGAAAAAGCCCACGGCTTGACGATGATTACTCAAGATATGGCTCTTACAGTTCCTCCCCATTTTCGCCACCTAGAAGACGCTGATATTTGGAGATCAACAGCCTCTGTAGAAACAAACATTCTGAAAGAATTGTGGGTGTGAGGTAGATTTGACGTTTTTATTTCAAAGCTGGTGAAGAATATTTAACCTTGCAGGCAGTTGACAGATAAGTTTCTGAAACAAACGAGAGATAGAACGTGTATAAAAGAATCATAGTTTGGTGAAACTGAGACATTAGTTGATGAATTTGCACCTTCTGTTGTCTATGGGTTATTCACTTGAGAGATAACTGAATATCGAGAATACTAGATCGAGATGACAGGATTCGACAGGAACATTATTTTGAATGATTCTCAGGTTTGCGCCAAAAATATGATTTTAGGTGAGGGAAAGACTAGCATTGTTTGTTTCATTCGGAAAAAAAAGTATAATCCGAAGAACAAGTTGGTAGTATCATTTATCATAGTGTATTACCGGGATGGATCTTCAATTGTCCTAGCAGGGGTTCTTGATGAGAACAACTAATCATCAGCAAGTAATACTCAAAATAATCGTACTCGATTCGACTCGAAGTACAGTTTGATTTTGCCCCTTCTGTTCATAATGCAATCATTTTCAAACAAGATGAACAGAAACAATTGTACTAGCAAGCAAGAGGAGAGCAAAATCTTAATAGATCATCCACAAAAACCGGCTACCAAACACATTTATTGTAGAACAAGGGTGAGAAAGGGAATCAAATCAATAAGGTTAAAACAATCATTCAAGAACTAACATAGAGGCAAACATTTTGATACAAACAAATTTCGGGGGCATAGCCGAGAATCCACGGGTCAGCGGCTACTGTAACGTCAAATAACTAGCGCTACGGATAGAGTGTCAATATATAAAATGGCTGGAGTATCCTGAATCCTAAAAGAAGAAGAAAAAGAGGGGGAAGGAAATAGAAAGCAAATCCCCCTGCCCTCACAAATTCGTAGTTCTAACTACATTTGACTTCTTGTTACACATCTAAACCTTCTCTCCCTACCATCATCAAATCAATCCTACACAAGTTGACCCACTTACCCATCTTCAACAGTCAACATTATTATAAGAAGGCAGGTCAAATGGTCACGTTGTGAAAAAGGTCCACAGCTTCTTCCCTATGGAAGCTTCACCTGGATGTTCCGACTCTTCTTCATCATCATCCTCATCTTCATCACAAGATTCACTTTTGTATTTACCACGATCGCCGTACTTGCCTGCAATTTCGGGTGACCCGTTCACTTCTTCACTCAGAGATACCATATCAGTTGAATTTTTCGACGTACCAGCAATAGTGACATCTTGATTATCTCCAACAGTACCACACTGCACAATAAAAGACCATAACATTAACTAACGATCCCATATTGCTGCATCATTGAGTGTCAAGGGAAAGGCCAAAACCAAACCGAAGTTTAGACAAATTAAAACGATCGAAATGAAATAACGACATAACCTATCTCCTATATAGATTGGTTTTTCTAGGGAAAAGAACTCGATAAGAAATAAGCTTCAGTATTGCAAATGGAATATGTTTTAAGATTAAAGAAGAATATGCAAGACTGATATGAACGAAAAAAGATAAAAGACGAGCTCATATACTGAAATTAGACAAACATTGAAAGAAATAGAGGTTCAAAATCATGATGCTCAACAAGAATCTAGGATTGAACCGTACCCTTACAAGGTAAGTGCTTCCAGCATTGTCGCTGGCAACCCCCATTGATGGTGTAGGACGAGCTTTTGAATAGTGAACGTCTTCCTCTGTACGATTAACAGGAGCATCTTCTTCATTTCCTTTACTAATGTTAGATGGGTCTTTAGAAGCACCTGCACTGAATAAATTAAGTAGCAAAAAACCCAAATCAGATAAAAGACAAATTATAACTTGTCTTTAAATGGCATCACAAAATTAAAATGTAGAGTAAAGAGCAATAACTTCAAAGGGTCATGCACATATACATAGTTTTTTTCAGGCAGGTTGGGTTGGGGCTATGGGAAGGTGGGTGCCACCGTAACCACGCATATGCACAATAAACACTTTTTTTTTTTTGTTCATTTTTAACCACATCGAATTAGGGACATGGGTAGGGAGGGTGACATGGTGTAATAATCTACGCCTATCAGTTATTTTTTTTCCCCAGTTCTCCCTACATAGATAACAAAGGAACAATCAGAATCTTACGCTTTAGTTCGCCGGAGATTGTATCGTTTTTCGGGAGCTCGCACAGCGGGGACAGCCCTCTGTCGCCTTTTCCGTGGTTGACCTTCAACAGCACTGCCAGAGCGTACCTCACTGTCATCATTATCATTCTCACCCATGATTTGAGATGAATTAGCATGTGTCCTCTTCCGCAAATTCCTTCGTGTGCCTTTGCCAGCAAGACTAGATTCATCCCGACTCTCATTATTCAGCTGACTAGAATCCTCAGCATTTCCATTAGGATACTCAACCAGTTGAGTTTGCTGAAGTTCCACAATTATAGCCTTAGATTCTTCAACAACCGCCTTAACAGATCGAGTTCTACTGATTTTAGGCTTTTCTCTCCTGGGACGTAGTTTTCGCTGATTTACTACCCTTGTGTCAGAAGGTTGGGAATCAACTGCAACTTCTGGTGCCTTACTATTAACGTTACTTTGATCATCAGTTGAAAGATTCAGGCTTGGTTCAACCTCCCTGCCACTAACATCAGACTGAACTCTCTTGTCGTCAAGAGAATCACTTGCAATTGCAAGAGATAACTCTGCCTCCTCTTCACTTGCAGATACTCTCTTGGAAGGTTCTGCCGGAACATCATGTTCATCTGATATTGGTGCCTCGTCATCATCCTGTTTCTCAAATGCTGGAGATGCAATCTTTTTACCTGGAGAGAACTTAAAAATCTTAGACGTGCACTTACGAAGCCAAGAAATGGTTCCACTAGAAGTATGAGATGTTGGACCAGCTACGCCTGGAGTCAGTTCACCATTTCGCACATCAGAAGTACCCAGAGTTCCACCTGGAGACACATGCAGTCCTTGAATTTCCATATATCTATCAGGAAGTCCGGGCAGATTAAGAACATCAGCATTTTCAATACCACCCAAAGATTGTAAATCTGAAAGCACAAACTCAGATGCAGTTTCCCCACAGTTCTTGCAGGTCATGAGTTTGTCAACATATGAAATAAAGCGATCTCTCTCCTCCACAAGCTGTTCTCGCTGACTTTTCAGCTTATTGCTAAGTTCGAGAAGCTCTTCAATGTCCTTACGTATCTCAATTCTCTGCTTTTCCAAATGTTCTTTATTAGCTTCAGCTTCCTGTTTTTCTTTATCAGTTTTGAGTCTCTCGAGTTTCAGTTCCTCCATGTCTCTTCTAGCTACATCTCTTAAAAATTTAATATTCTCCAACTCTCTCTCCTTCTCTTCCTTAAACAATTTCTCTTTCTCACGGAATTCTCTTTCCATTTCTTCGACCCGATTCTGCATGGAAGATTCTAGTTCTCTTTTTTGTAGTTCAAAATCATGCATCATTTGGCTTCTATCACTTTGAGCTTTTTCAGCAATGGCGGATTTCTCATGCTCCATACTAGCTGCAAAGGATTCTCGGGCTAACTTTAGATCTTCCTGCTCCCTATGGATATAAGCTTCAGTTTCTGATCGCTCATTTCTCAACCTTTCCTCCTCAGCAAAGATCCTTTTTTCAAATTCTTCCTTTTGCTGCAAAAGAGTCTTCTGCTCTTTCTCAACCTGAGCTCTTTTCTCATCCAGCTCTTCCCATTCTCTCTCAAAAGTTTCTTTCTGCTGCTTCAAATCCTCTGCTTCCTTCAGCAGTAGTTCTTTCTGTTCCCTGTACTTCTCTATCTCTTGTTTCAATTCAGACTGCAAACGGAGGAAATCAGACTTCTCTGTCTCACTCACTTTAAGACTTTCCTTCTCTTCATGTAATTTCAACAGTTGTGCTTCATTCTCCGCTCTAATATTCTCCACTTCAGCCATTAAACTGATCAGATCCTCTTTATCAGTGAGCAATTGTTTCTTCTCTGCCTCAAGCTTCTTCTCCTCAGTTTTCATTGACTTCTCTCTTTCTTTCAAAGCTTTGAGCTTTGTATCATAGTCTGCCTCTTTCTCCTTGAACTTCTCTGTTCTCTTTTCGAGTGCCTGCTCTCTTTTAGCAACCTTTTCCTCCATGTGCTTGATTTCAGCTTCCTTTTTCTCCACTTCAGACACTTTGTTTTTCAATTCTTCATCTAAAGATTTTCTCTTTTGATCAATTTCCAGCTCAAACTCAACTTTCTTTGCATCTAAAATGGCATTGTGTTCATCTAGAAGTTTTTGAATCCCAACCTGTTGGCATTGCAGTGGTTAAAAATAAAATTAGACTATTTCAAATGTTACCAGGTACTGTATTTCTCTTCTTTGGAAATAAAATTTGACGAGGCAATCCCTAAGAAGAGTAAAGGAGGCTACTTTCCCTAACATATACCAGGGTTCAGTTGGTATCAACCAAAATCAAACTAATCCAATGAGCATTAAAACCCGTTCGGTCGAAGTTAGCAACTACCAATCTTTCATAGGAGATAAAAATCTATATTATAACTCAAACGAAATCGAACCAATTTGATCATAAATGAGATGCATTCAGAAGCTGCCATAAAAAACTATACGGTTCTCACGTAGATTCCATACAGCAAGTGGAGTGACAAAACTTACCTTTTCACGAGCACTAAGCTTTTCTTCTAACACAAGTAACTCCTTCTCTTTAATCTCCAAAGTAACTTTCAATGCATCGGATTCCTGCATCCAGAAGAAACAGTAATATTAAAACCTGTAAATATAATTCACTGCGTATCTGTTGGTTGCTTGAAGAAAGGTACTAGCCTGCTCTTTCAAAGCTATGTTAGCTAGCCTACTACTTATATCTTCTTCTTTCCTTTTCAGAGCTAAATTAGCAGACTCAATTTTCTTCTGAGTCTCTTCAAGATCTCTCTCTTTCTGTTTCACCATCCTATCATTCTCATTAGCCCTCTCCTCTCGCTGATTAAGAATTGTTTGACCCTTGGCAAGCCTCTCTTCTGCATCTTGCTGCTTTCTTTCCCATTCCCGTAAATCGTCACGTTGTTTAGACAATGTAGCCTCGAGAGCTTCTCGTCTAACAAAAGTCAAAATTGAAAACATCATTTTAAACTTGTGTACTTTTTGGTTCTAGAGAAAAAATTACAAGAATGTGATAAGATTTAAAACAATTATCTGAGAATAGAGCATACTCTGCATTGAAGGATAGACGATCCCTCCTAAATGCACCTTCCCGAGCCTCCAGATCTTGCAGCTTCCTTTCCACCTCTGAGTTCTTCCGGCTCACCTCAGCAAGTTTTGCATCAGCAGCACGCAGTTTTGCCTCCACCTCCAAAGATTTTTCTTCAATGCTAGTTACTAAAGCATTGGCTTCAGCTAGCTTTGAGTCACCTGTGAACTTAATTTCAGCATTTTCTGCACGCATCTCACGTAAAGCCTTCTCCAGCTGCATGGCAATATTTCACATAACAGCAATTTAATCATTGAAAATACCTCAGAAGAGAGGAGGGCATATGCAGGTGGACAGGCTTATTTAATGGGAATACATTTACCTATACAAATTATACACTAGATAAGGGGAAATGAGTTCAAACAATTCAAGCCCTCATCCTCAAGACCCCGCTTTTCCTAAATAGAAAGAAAAGGAGAGAACTTGAAATATAGTCCCGCTAATGCAAATGGTCATATGTAGAACAGTAAATATACATTTCATTAAATTGTATGGAGCATATCCCCCTTCCCATGGTCATCTATCCAAATAATTTCCTTCCCTCCCTTCTTCAAAAATCACTTATTGAAACATCAGTCAATCTGGAAAGTAGCATAGAAGAGAACAAGAAGAAGAAAAATTCTTAAATACTTTTTTCTCGAAAAAAATGAATAGGAAAAAACATAAAACGTTAAAAACAGAGCCAATACAATCCCATCAGGTAATCTTAAAAACCATCATTCCAGCAGGCAGAAATCAAGGTATTTCATTCAAGTACCCAAAAGGACTCAAGCCAGTAATATGTCCCAACTGGAACTTACACTACAAAAATAACCAAATTTGCAGTTAGGCTATTGCCTAATACACAAATCTCCAAAGTCATACATCTTTACAAAGTTCCATTAACAAGATGCAAATAGAAAACATGCCAAAAGGTAGGAGGTTAGAATGAGACTGATAAATAAAATGTGAGAGAGGAATGTGAAAGCGAATTGACACCATAGGGATGCAAATGATATGTTAATAAACAAGATACAGAAAGCTGGGGCCTTACATCAAGAACGCACTCCTTCTCAACCCCCAATGCCTTCTTTAAACTTTCCTCTTGCTTTTCAGCATCAGATATTGCAATCATATGGGCCATTTGTTCTCTTTTGATAGTGTCGTTTGCTTCAGCCAACGCTTGTTTAAGCTCTTCATATTTTAAAGCCCAATCCTTTTTCTCAATCAAGAGAAGCCCCATGTTGTACTGGTACTCAAAAAGCTGTTTAACACGAAGAAATTGGAAGAGAGTTAATAACTATAATTAGTTCACCTGACGCGTGGGTATTTTGTAAAAATATACTGCTCCCAAACACCTGGCGAAACAAAAATAAAGCTGAACTGGAAAAGGTTAAGATGCTTATAAATAAGAAACACCAGATCGGTAGCTCCACGTTCCACCAAAAATTAAAAGAAGAAACCATTAGCTCATAATACTACATAAACCAACTTAGTTACATATCCTATTATAGGGCCCGCAACTCCATTATCCACATAATGTAACTATACTACTGGTTTGCAATTCATGGCACAAGTCGAGCAAGAAACCATAAGAACAAACTACTTCAACTCTGAACGACATTGCGAAACAGATGCTCCTAAGTTATCTAAATTAACGAAAATAATCCACTTAAAGAAGCAAGTAAATGAATAATCAACAAGATCGTGAACAAAATCAACTGACCTCGTTTTCAAGTCTTGAGATCTTCTCAGCAAACCCTTCTTGGTCCAAGGCGGCCGCCTCAGCGGACCCCACAAACATGTTTCTCCCATTTTCAACTACAGTACCTGAAAGAGGCGTCGCGGTTTCACCAAAAGCAGCAGTCTTCCCCTTGATCCCATCACCCCTGCGGCTCAAGCTAGGAGTAACAGAGTTTGGATTCGAGGCAGAACCGGCCCCACCCTTCTGGGCCCCGGTCTTGGGCGTGAGGGGCCAACCAGACCAAGCCTTCTGCGGCGTAAACATCACGAAACTCTCAACAGCACCAACTTCGGAACTAAACCCAATTCCAGTGATCGAGAATTCAACTTCATAAGCGTGCGAAACCCAAAATTCAACGGAGGGTGGGCACAAAAACCCTCACAACTCCCCAAGAATCGAACTACTAACCCCTCAGCCCAAAGAAACAAAGAAACACACGAGGAGATTCAAACAAGATACGTAACGAATAATCCGTTAGCCCAAACCCTCCGCAAGCGAAGCCCCCGAATTCCGTCGAAAACACAAAAAAAAAATGAAGGAAGTTCCAAAATCAAACAAACTAAACTTGAAATCAAACCCTCAACCTTCCGCGTATTCCAGTTCTATTAAGAACGCCCTAAGCCGGACGTGAACGGAATTCCCAAATTCAGGCGAAATGAAGATTTGAAATCCGACAACGTCTCACAAATCGAACCGATCCCCCTCTCTCTAATCTTTCTATCTATCTATCTCCAGCCTGCCTTTGTGCGCTTTTGTGCGGACCACTTGTTTATTTCTACGGGCCCCGACCGCAAACTCCACCTCCAAATTACCATCTTACCCTTCTCTACTTTTGAAATTAAAATTTTATTTTCCAAATATGTATTCGATAATTATCAGAAATTATTTTTTTAAAAAAAAAAGACTCTTTTACCTGAACAATTAAGAAGGAAAATACTCTCTTATAATTTTCTATTTATTTTATAATCCTTACTCTATTTTTAAATATTTATTTTATGAGGAAAAAAAAAAGTTAATAGGCGCAGCAGCCAACCGCATTGACCAGGAAAACTCCACGCCGCCAGGGGTAGTTTAGGAATTTCACAGACCAAAAAAACCCACATCAGAGACGCCGCTGCCTTTTCCAGCTCGGAGCGTGCGAGATTCAGTGCATTGTACGCGCTGACGAAAGTACCCTCGGAGGAAAAAATGGCCGTTGGGTGAGAAAGGGGTAGTAAATAGAAGGAAAAGAGAGGGGTAAAAATGAGAAATGGGAGAAAGTACACGTGGCAAATGAAAAAAAAAAAAAGTTAAAAAAGGAAGGGGAATTCCACGGTGTACTGGGAGAGGAGGGGTTTGAAAAAGGTTGGAAAAACTGAAGGAAGATAAGAATTAAGAACAATTACATATTATTAAATATATTTTTTCTCCAATTATTTATTTAAATATATTTTTGTCCCATGTGATTCCCTTTCTTTTTCATGTTCCCAGCCATCATTTTCCATACCTCTTTCTTTGCCCTTTAATATATATATTCATTTATTTATTTATTTTAGTTATGAGTTGGACGTGAATGTGCTGAGTCAACTTTATTATTTTAATTTATGTTTTTTCTTCTTTTTAATATTATTTTAATTTTTCGGGTATATTGTATCTAATTAAGTTAGTAAATTTTTTTAAAAAATGTCAATTAAATCAACAATTTCATTAAGTGGTTGACTTTATCTTGTTTGACCGGTAAATTTTCTTATGAGACAACAAATATTTTTTATTAAAAAAATAAATGTTTTTAGTAATAATATCATATTTAAATTAATTTAGAAAATAAATATCCATAAATTGAGTCTTAAAATATGACGTAATCAAGAAGTAGTCTTCTCATACACAAAAAAAGTCCTTTCAAGAGATGCTTTGCCCAAACTTGATTTTCCTTCCTACACAAGAATAGAATCCCAATTAAAAAAGTATTTAGTTAAAAATTAATGAAGAAATAATAATAATAAATTAAATGCTAATTATTATTATTATTATTTGCAATATAAGTACGAGAATTTAAATGTAGTATTAAAATTTATTAATTTATAAGGGTGAAAATAGATCTGGTGAAGGGAGGCCATAAATATTTTCAACTTCTACCCCGTTAATTCTAAAAGGTTAATTAATATTTTCAATATCTAACACATTAATTCTAAAAGGTTAATTAATGATTATGTTTAGGACCATTCTATGCCTATAAATTAGTCATTTTAAACCGAGAATTATAATCCAATAGGTGAACAAATGAAATTAATTGAAAATATGAATGTTCAACTTATAAAGACATACATCGATTGGAGAGGAGAAAGTATAGCGATTATGCTGGCTCTGAAGGGGTGGATTGTGAGATCCCACATCGGTTGGAGAAGAGAACGAAACATTTTTACAAGGATGTGAAAATTTTTCCCTAACATATGCGTTTTAAAAACTTGGAGGAGAAGCTCCACGCGAAAAACCCAAATAGAACAATATAGAGGTTGGATTGTTACAGACATATAAATCCAACAAAGCTGAGGTTTTTTAACATACTTTATAAATCCGTTTGGGCACCATACTAACTAATAAGGGGTCATTAATGTTTAGTCAACAATCAACAATATTGAAACTTCATGTTGTGGTGAACATACAAAGCTTCTTGGCTATTGAAACTTCACCTGGATGATTCGACTCTTCTACATCTTCATCTCCAACTTCCTCACAAGATTCACATTTGTATTGGCCAGGGTCCACGTCCTTGCCTGCATTCACTTCCTCACTCAGAGATACCATATCAGTTGAGTTTTGGGACGTGCCAGCAATAACATCCTCTTGACAATCTCCAACTCTCTCATGCTGCACAATGAAAGACCAGGACGTTAAACTATCAATTACCAGAGTTCAATCAGCATAAACATTGCTTCATCATGACCCATGCCACAGTTGGCAGCTGATAGATACAACATTGAATGTAGGATGGAAGGTCAAAACCAATCAATGTCGAGACAAAATGAAATAATGACATGCATCGAATTTTCTAGGGAAAAAAATCGATACGAAATGAGTTTCCGTAGTGCAAAGATAGAAGTCAAGATCATATACAGAGTCTAGACAAACATTAAAGGAAATACAGGTTTGAAATCGTGATGCTCAACTAGATACTAGGATTAAATCGTACTCTTACGAGATGAGTGCTTCCAGCACTGTCACTAGTGACCCCCATTGATGGTGTAGGACGAACTTTTGAATGGTGAACGTCTTCGGCTGTACGATCAACAGGAGCATCTTCTTCATTTTCTTTATTAACGGTAGAAGGGTCCTTAGAAGCACTGAAAAAAAATCAAATCAGATAAGTTATAATTCGTATGAAAATACATATCGAAACTAAAATGTATAGAGGCCATGGGTAGGGCGTTCATGGTGTAACGACCTACGCCTTTCAGTTATTTTTTCCCAGTTTTTCCAACCTAAATAACAAAGGAACAATCAGAATCTCACGCTTTAGTTCGCCAGAGATTGTATCGTTCTTCGGGAGCTCACACTGCTGGGACAGCCCTCTGTCGCCTTTTCCTTGGTTGAATTTCCACGACACTGCCAGAGCGTACCTCACTGTCATCATGATCATTCTCATCCATGATTTGAGATGAATTAGCACGTGTCCTCTTCCGCAAATTCCTTTGTGTGCCTTTGCTAGCAAGACTAGATTCATCCCGACTCTCATTATTCAGCTGACTAGAATCCTCAGCATATCCATTTGGATACTCGACCTGTCGAGTTTGCTGAAGTTCCCCAACTATAGCCTTAGCATCTTCAACAACTGCCGTAACCGACCGAGTTCTACCGACTTTAGGCTTTTCTCTCCTGGGACATAGTTTTCGCTGATTTGCTACCCTTACGTCAGAAGGTTGGGAGTCGACTGCAACTTCTGGTGCCTTACTAATAATGTTTCTTTGATCATCAGTTGTGAATTCCCGCTTGGTTCAACCTCCCTGCCACTAACATCAGATTGAGCTCTCTTGTAATCAAGAGAATCACTTGCAATTGCAATTGATAACTCTGCCTCATCATGTTCATCTTTCTTTGGTGCCTCATCATCCTGTTTCTCAGCTGGAGATGCAATCTCTTTACCTGGAGAGAACTTAAAAATCTTAGACGTGCACTTGCGAAGCCCAGAAATGGTTCCACCAGAAACATGAGATTTTGGACCAGCTACGCCCGGAGTCAGTTCCCCGTTTTGCACATCAGAAATACCCAGAGCTCCACCAGGAAACGCCTGGAGTCCTTGAATTTCCATATATCTATCAGGCAGTCCAGGCAGATTAAGAACATCAGCATTTTCAATACTATCCAAAGATCGTAAATCTGAAAGTATAAACTCAGATGCTGTTTCCCCACAGTTCTTGCAGGTCTTGTGTTTGTCAACATATGACAAAATGCGATCTCGCTCCACAATTAGTCGTTCTCGCTGGTCTTTCAACTTATTGCTAAATTCGAGAAGCTCTTCAATGTCCTTACGTAATTCAATTCTCTGCCTTCCCAAATGTTCTTTATTAGCTATAGCTTCCTGATTTTCTTTCTCAGTGTTAAGTCTCTCGAGTTTCAGCTCGTCCATTCCTCTTCTCGCAACATCTCTTAAAAACTTAATATTCTCCAACTCTCTCTCCTTCTCTTCTATAAACCGCTTCTCTTTCTCACGGAATTCTCTTTCCATTTCTTCCACTCGATTCTGAAAGGAAGATTCGAGTTCTCTTTTTCGTAGTTCAAAATCATGCATCATTCGACTTTTCTCACTTTGAGCTTTTTCAGCAACAGCGGATTTCTCATGCTCCATACTAGCTACAAAGGACTCTCGGGCTAACTTTAGATCTTCCTGCTCTCTATCGATATAAGCTTCCGTTTCTGATCGCTCATTTTTCAACCTTTCCTCCTCAGAGAAGATCCTTTTTTCAAATTCTTCCTTTTGCTGCAAAAGGGTCTTCTGCTCTTTCTCAACCTGAGCTTTTCTCATCCAGCTCTTCCCGTTCTCTTTCAAAATTTTCTTTCTGCTGCTTCAAATCCTCGGATTTCTTCAGCAGAAGTTCTTTCTGTTGCCTATACTTCCCAACCTCCTGTTTCAATTCTGACTGCAAAACATGAAAATCAGACCTTTCTGTCTCGCTCACTATAAGACTTTCCCTCTCCTCATGTAATTTCAACAGTCGTGCATCATTTCGGATCTAATCTTCTCCATTTCCGCCTTTAAACTGATCAGATCCTCTTTATCAGTGAGCAATTGTTTCTTCTCCACCTCAAGCTTCTCCGCCTCCGATTTCGTAGACTTTTCTCTTTCTTTCAAAGCTTTGAGCTTTGTATCATAGTCTCCCTCTTTCTCCTTGAACTTCTCCGTTCTCTTTTCGAGTGCCTGCTCTTGTTTCCCAACCTTTTCCTCCATGTGCTTGATTTCGGCTTCCTTTTTCTCCACTTCAGACACTTTGTTTTTCAATTCTTCATCAAATGATTTTCTCTTTGGATCAATTTCCAGCTCAAACTCAACGTTCTTTGCATCTAAAATGATATTGTGTTCATCAAGAAGTTTTTGAATCTCAACCTGTTGACATTTCAGTGGTTAAAATTAAAATTAGACTATTTCAAATGTTACCAGGTATTATATTTCCCAGGCTACTTTCCCTAACATATACCAGGGTTCAGTTGATATCAACCAAAATCAAACTAACCCGATGAGCATTAAAACCAGTTCGGTCGAACTTAGCAACTACCA